AGCTTTACTAGAACATTCATTGTGACGCTATTTCCTAGTTATTCTCCTTCAATTCCGGTAAAAAGATGCAAAGCTTTCGTCCGTCATATGACGATCATCATCAGAGCAAGGTACAATTGCCACAACAAAATCCAAGCTAAAGAGTCAAGAAAACTCATGGACAAATCCCTAAAAAGTGGTATATATACTGTACATCTGGCCTCTTTGATCAAGTATAAAGTGATTTGGTTAGTTAAGGTCATAAGTCAACTTCGATGCCTGTGATTGTGTCTGTCTATGTATATGTATGTGCCTGTTTGTGTTCTTTTATGTACGAAACCCGCAGTGATCGCTTAAAGTAATTAGGACGGCAAAAAGGAACGTCTGATTTTGGCCATCAAGGTTTGATGACCCCTATCTTCCCTTTTCTACAGTTAAGTTATAACCATCACTCCGATTGTGCAAGGTCGGACACTCGTTTGGTTTTTTTGATGAGCCGTTTTTTGTTTTTGGTCTCAATGCGTGAGGGAAAGAGTGAGCTAAAAGTACAGAGAAGTGACTATGATTAGAACCAAGACAAGAAAAAACTAGTTGCGTCGTTTCCTTTTTGCAGGCGGCTCAACTCCCTCTCTATCATTCAGTTTATTAATTAAGCACAATTAATTTTTACTTATCTTCTTGCCTGTAGACCTTGCATTCAATGTACTTCCTATTCGGTTTATTTATATGGCTTGTCTAATTTTACGTTTAGCCGCAAACATACTATAATCAGCAAAACGAAAAGTTTAAAACCATTCAATCTTGTGTCCAGTTTATGCCCTGTGCTCAGCAAGCTCCGATTCCAAATGAGTAAAATCATTCTATGGATATAATGGTTGAATTAATTAACTTACCGGACACGCTGCCAAAAGAAGCTAAGAATAGTATAGAAAGAGAAGTGATTCTTTATTTTGATGAATTAATTGTTCCAAAGAAATAGTATGACTTGAATACAGTTTCTAGATATTTACACCAAATTGATCTGTTTGTCTTAAAGGTAAATAAAGGTGGTGCAGTGATCATCATGGATAGGTAAAGTTATATAGAAAAAATGATGATTCATTTAAATGACTCAGGAACTTACAGACTTTTACTGAAGGATCCCACTGAAAGTCTTAAGGCCAGACTTAGGGAATCGCTAAGCGTTTGTGTAAGCAGAGGAGAAACGGAGAAGTGGAAAATAAATTCACTCCTTCAGAGGGATGTATGGCAGCTTCGGCTTACGGCCTTCCAAGATACACAAGAAAGGAGTTCCTGTGAGATTGATTGTTAATAACAAGGGTACTGTGATGCATACGATCTCACGTTTCTATTGTGGACAACTAAGGAAATTGGCTGAGTAATTTAAATATTCAGTGAAGAATTCATATGGATTTGCCACATTAATAGATCGACAGAGTATTAAAGAGGAGGATCTTTTGGTTAGTTTTGATGTTGTATCAATGTATACT